AAACCATAAAATGGATACTTTTTAAGGTCACGTTTGACAAAAGCAAAGATTAAATACTATTTACATAGGAAATGCAGCGAAAATTTAAGTTAATTATTTTAAAACCTGTTACATACATATGAATAATAAAATAAAATATTTTACATTATATTCAACGTACATTCACATCATAAATTCGTATATTTTTAATTTGCTAGTAAAAGTATTTTAACAACTTAAGTTGACATGGAAAAAGACCTAAAAACACAATCATTCCCAAACCTAAGACGTATTATAATACGATAAAATTTAAGAGTAGACATGATACAAGTATTTTACGTTGCAGTGTTGTGTTTTGTAATCGGTTGGTTTATGCCAGCCATCTTTACTCTCCCGATCAACTGTTGACGCGATCGTGCTTATTCAATCTTATTTGTTAAATTCTTGTTATTTCCTTATTTTATTTGTTGAGTTTGTTGTTATTTTATTTACTGTTAAGTTTAAAGTTGTTTGTGATTGTTTTCTTGTTAAATTGACGTTTTCGTAGCTATATATTTTGAGTGGTGAACTGGGACCAAGCAGCTCTTGTACATTTTCTTCGCCGAAGAAAAAGCGTACAAAGAGTGGACCATTGTGCTCCAACGAAAAGGAGCTCGTGATAAATGTTTTTAAACATGTTGAAGAAACCTGGCCAAAAGATTCCTATCCATATAAAAGTGATATAATCAATAAATCCGCCGAAATACTGGGCATATCACGAGCTACTGTTTATCGGTTGGTGAAGGAAAAGAAAAGTACTGGCCGTATCTCATCACCTCCGCCTCCGCCATTTAAAGTATCTTTGTTGGATACATTGGACGATATGGATAAGGCTGCGATACGCCGCAAAGTCCACACATTTTTTTTAATAAGGAGATGCCCACCGTTGACAAAGTATTGCATGCTGAGAATACAGATGAAACTTTGCCCAACTTTAAGAGGACCTCTTTTTTCAAGTTGATGAATTCATTACAATTTAAATATCGAAAATAAAGAGATGACATTGTTTAATGGCGCATCAAATATTTAAATAATATTCTAAAGCTCAGGAGCGAAGGTAGAACTATTTATTACACTGAAGAAACTTGGATAAATGAAGGTTAGTAAAATACAATATTAAACTACTTTATCCTGTGGGAAATTTACTTCTGAATGAAATTATATTTCCTTTTGTATTCATAAACTGATAAACTAAATTCATATTTTTTATTGTTTATCATCACAGTACTAAAATATATTAATTTCTATGCACATAATTTTATTATAATCTTTTTATAAATATTGAATGATACTTATTATTTTCATACCATGTCTTTATCCTGTGAAAATGTTACTCAAATATGTTGTGTCATGTTACCAATTGTATTAAAAATTATTATTGTTTTTATTTTTCATAAGTTTTTAATGAACTTATATTTGTTACAGGACACACTATGAACAAAATTTGGCAAGATCATACAATTAAAACTGTGAAAGAAGCTCATCGAGAGGGATTGTCAATAGGATTGAAAAACCCAAGTGGAAAAGGGAAGCATCTGATTGTATTGTACATATGGGCACAAGTCAAGGGATATGTTGGTAAAAATAATAAAACATTTAAGATGACTGAAATTAAAAATTAGCCGATGCCTTACAATCAATCACAGCTGAATCGTGGAAACGGTGCATTGACCATGTCATTAAAGAAGAGCAGAAAATGCTGAAATTGAATGGTATTGTTGATGATGTTGTGGATAAATTTATTATTAAAGTTGGTGGCAGTGCATCCAGTGAGTTGTCAGACAGTGAATAAATATTATTTGCAAAGTATTATGCTGGTTTCATTTGAAATACACATTCTTTTATTATATTTATCATCAAGACAGAATTCATTATAATTTTAATATAGGTTACATAAATTATATCTAATCATTGACTAGTAGGTACTTTCTGACATTATAAAAGTTTTAGAACCTCAGATTCTTTGTTTACATTTTGTCTCAAGCCAAAGTGAATAGACTATAGGCTGTTACAAGCACTTGTGAATGTCGAAAAGCTACGCCATCGGTTCGCAAATCTACGGCGGGAGACCTTGTACTGAGAAGAACCGGCAAGAAACTCAGCAAGGGCTGTTTTTTTCTCCCTGTATTATATACAGAGTCGTCAATTTGAAAAATGAGTTCAATATGAGATAACCCATGAAGTCACTTTCCACAATAGAACAAAATGATGTATTACTGGTTTGTAGATCCCATTAAGACCTGCAAAAAAGTCCGCGAGAACATATATCTAGCTATCATGGTTTAATCACAATAACTGATTTTGTGTTCAAAATAATTATTATATCGTCTGAAGAAAAAAAACTACGTTAAATATTTATCATAATATTAAAAACACAAACAACCCTTAATTTTCACCCCTCTACCACCCATATTTTTATGGCAATACGAAGTTCGCTGGGTCAGCTAGTATTTAATAAATTAAGAAAATTATGACTAGTTAAAGTAAATCTCTGTTAAAATGTATACCAGTACCTACCGAATGTTTCACGCGCGCCGATATTTTCATAGATAAATTTAATAAAAAGAGTTCAAAGAAACAGATTTATAAAAAAAATGTGTGAATGAATAAAACCTGTTTTAAAAATCAGTATGTTTATTGGTATATTTTTTCGGTGCGTCGATAATTTTCTGTATTTTTTAAGGTGCTTCGGTATTTTCGTAAAATTTATTCTGGTCACACTGTGTGCCTGCTGTAATCCGTTTTTTGGCGGGGTTTCATCGAGTGCGGTTGGCGTCTTATTTTAATTTTTCTTAAATTCGTTCATTGTGGATATTGTGAAATAAAATTTTAGTGGTTTTGTGTAACAACCGTCTGCGTAACTGAAGAATTAGTGGAATCGTTAAAATATACGCTATTCCGGTCAAGTGGACGTGAGAATTTTATTGTAGTGTTGACTACCCCACAGAAGCTTATAGAAAAAGCCAACTCGATACATTTCGTGCCAAACACTCCAAGAAACATTAGAATGCGTCACCGACATTCTAATGTAAAAACAAAAAGAAAATTAATTTTATTTAAGATAAGGCTGTATGGGCATTGTTCCCTTTGCCTTCCCAAAAACGGGAGAACTTCAACAAAAAAAAAACTCATCCTTTTTTTTCGCATCTTCATTTTGATTTGAAGTGGTGCTATCGTTTTCTGCGTTTCGGATTGTAAAAAATGCTTTTTATGAAAGAAAGGTACAAAGTGTGTTTTTAATTACAAAGATAATCTTTGGTTGGTTTTTACCATTTGATTTATGCTCTTGATTTATTCTGGGAGAGTTGCTAAGAGCATTTCGATATTTTTTTTCTGTGATTCTTACTTTTTTAGTTTTCATTTTGATAATTGGTTTTTTCGGTTGATTTTATCGTCTACACCAAGTTTTTATCCTTTCGGTTGTATCTTAGATCTTTCGAATTAAAAAAAAACTAATGACACGTCTTACCTGTTTTTGGATATCCTTCGCCAATATGCGAATATACAGCGCTCAGCAAGTTGGAATTGTAATGGACAGAAATGCTTGATTTTAATGCAAAGTTTGTGTGTTTAATGCAATGTCAAATGCTTGGCATGCCTGCTTGTTGAAAGATTTGCAATATGTTCTTTAAAAACTAATTTTGCTGTAGATCAATTTTATATGGTGTTGGTTTACAAAACAATAAGTAAATCTTTGTCGACTTCTTTAGTTTATTTGCACGAGTTGGTTGGTTGGTTTGCATGGGCAATGGTGACCACATAACATCAGGTGGTCTCTTTTTTTTTTAAAGTTGTTTTTCTTTCACTTGAAGTACCTATATCTTATATTTGAAACGACAATGACTAAATTCTATTGCCCTAAAATACAGTCATGGTATCATCATTTGAAACTCCTTATTATTGTTTTAGGAATATTTATATCACTGATTGCAACAATAAACATCCCATATAATTATTTTATTTGAAGAAAAAGAAATTACCTGGTGTTTAACATTTATTCCAACTGGAGAGGTCTTCTGTAGCCTTTTGAGCTTTAAATTTTGCTAATACAAACATACTGTCTTTTAATAATTGAATATCTGCATTTAATTTTTCTCTAGAATCACTAAGGCTGCAAGGGAAGAAGAAATCAATTGTAATTATAATATAAACATATATTAGAACAGTCTAATATATCCAGTTTTTTCATTTGCCTGTTGGCTAATAGCTTCTCATTGTCATCCCAAATCAAAGCACGACACTTAGTCTATTTTGCCCTTTTTCTACAAATTGGGCTTTCTTGAACTGTCTGACAAAAAATACATCAAAATAATGAAATGTGCTATAACACTGCATTAAAAATATGAGAGTATGGGAAAAGAAAAAAACTACAGATGGTTTCAGGACAGAGATTAGAAATTTAACAATAACAGTATTCAAATTGCAAAATAAAAATACGAAATACCTATTTTCATTCTGTATTTATAACCTTTTTTTTATAAGCGTTTTCTATTTTATTTCAAACACTTAAGGACTAATTTTATATTATTGAATTTGCAAAATACTTTTCAATAAGGTTAGTCAACAAAAATACCACACACAAGAAAGAAAAAATGATTCCGTTACTATTTGTTGTTAAAGCTGATTCATATGCATCACTATGCTTGTGATAGTGTAGATGCAACATGGAATCACCATTGACCTAGAATCACTGCAATATTTGAAGGAGGATTATGTCTGACATCAATCATTAAATAAATACCCTACATTAAAGATGGTTCTTGAAATATATTTGTTCTTTAGTTAAATGCACATACATGTATATATTAGGTTGGGGAATAAGCTTTTCACATATTAAATGAAAATTCAAATCATTTTTAATAAGGTTTATTTACCTACATATATAAGTACTAAGCCACTTTGTTCGATAACTTTTTGCCATCTTGTAGGTAGGGACATGATGCCACTGCTATAGACATTTTGGGGCTTCTGATCAAAAAACCGCCGTCGTCTTGTGATGTTAACCTGACACTGCTCAAATAATTCTAAAGAGACTGAAACAGGTGGAAATCTGAAGGTGCAAGGTCAGGACTATACGGCGGATGCATTAACACCTCCCAGTCAAACTCTTAATTTTTGCTGAGTGGTTAAAGATGTGTGAGGTCCAGAGTAATCATGATGGAAAACCACACCGTTAAAAGAAACATAAAACGCCCACAGTTATTGCTGACCCAGACAACCTCACGCCGTACTTAGATAAGACTGGAGTAGGTTAACTTTATTTCGATATTTTATCTTACTGCACATGATCAGGATGTTGGTTGATTTTCGTTTGTTGGGCCGGCCGGTAATCGACCAAAGAAAATGGAGAAGAACCCTTGCCAAGAGTAGTGATATGACTGTTTTTCGGTCCAGTCAAGTGATATCTGTTTGTCGGTCAAGTCAAGTGATGTCTATCTGTCGGTCAAAAATACTACGTCGAAGGGGGCTTGTGGTAGACCCTGAAGCAGCCTAAGATGCAGAGGTTACCATTGCACTTGTAGGCAGGTCTGGCTGTCTTTTTATTTAAAATACACAACCAACAACGCGTGCTTCGCCAACCCGTAGGGGCAGGGATGTGGTTCCCTTCGATGTAAGGTCGGGTTCGTTGGGGTACTAAGGTCATAGTCGTCGTCACACACTGGGGTGGAATATATGACGGTCGTACCCAAAACTCAAAAAACGAAGAAATCAACAAACGATTAATTGTATCAGTAAGGTTGACAGTCCTTGATGTCCTTCTTAAAAATTTTACGATATGACATAGTTCCGGGCTTCTTGAGCCTCCTTCCTCAGCATCCCTATAGGTTGTAATGTATGTTTAACAATTTCAGCGCTACGAATTAACACTTTATGAAGTGTTGGTGTCATAAGCATCCAAGGGTATAGAGCAACATATAACTGAGCCGTATCTAATAATTGCTGAAACTTCTCTATATTAATTTGATAACCACTGGAAATAGATTGCAGTATTATATAGATACGACATAAAAGTTCTTCATCAAAGTTAGTAATACTTGAAGACTCCTTAAAGTTTTGGAAAAATTTACGTACCACGTTACCATCATTTGAATTTCCAAAACCAGGTTTTGGTTTGTCTACGGTAAGAGACAACCTACTTTTGAATTTATCCTGAATAGCTTTCTTGGTTTTGTCAATAAGCTCCTTATTTGTTTTAGATACACGCCAATTACGTACTGGTAATTTATAACTTAAGTGAAGAAGCGATTCAAACGCTCTATCCAGGCATGTAATACAGATAAACCAAAAGATACATGTTCAGATATGATAGGTCTGTTCTTAATCGATCAAGGTCATTACACTCTTTGGATGTAGCATCGCTTAAGTAACATCGCATTGTAGATTTTGTATCCGAAAGAGATATACAACTTGCCATCTACCATTGTGAATAAAGTAGGTACTTTATTAATAGACAAAATATAGAATTACTTTATAATTTAGCGATTAAGGTACTACCAACATTTATACATGTGCTATTTTCTAGGTGAATTGTCGGTTGTGACAGAAACGACAGTTTTGTTCGGATATTCCACAGTCAATAAGTAGGTAGTGGTATATTCAACATTTTCAAGTGGAGATTTAGAAATAAGTTTGACGTATGTGTTTGGTTTGCTTACGTAAATTATAAAATTAAACTATATTTAATTAGCTTAGCCATGCATTTATTTAACATAAATATTTTAACAGTTGATATGCATCAACACAAATAAAAAAAAGGAATACTCGCTTTGAGATCACATAATTATAATTCAACACACTTAATAATGAATAAAAATAGTTTAGGAACTATAAAAGATAATTTTCATTCTTCCTCTTTATGCTTTAAAGTAGGTACTTATTTAAATAAACTATGTGACAAATCATGTTTTAAGAATGTCAATCTTAAACTAGAAATAAAATTTGCATAAAATTATGAACAATCAACACACAATAAATAGTAATTATCATTCAAAACACTTTGAGGATGGCAGGTGTCAGGTAAGTATCACAAAGTTTTATAAAATGTTAAAAGTTAAAAAATTATATAAAAACTGTAAGTACCTTTAGGAACTTTTTTTTGGCTAAAAATATTAATTATTACAACTAATGTACAGTTTTAGTTTTGTACTTTGAAAGTCAGTCTACATTTAATCTCTCCAGCTAAGCTTAAGGCACCTTACAAACTTAAAAATAATTGTATAATAATCAGGAACTTCAGAATCACAATAGTAAAAAAATCAAACTATTCAGAAAGAAAACAAACACAGCCAATCATTCAGAATCACTTTTACTGGAAACATGTGGCAAGTCCCTATAAAAAGCATGATATTTTTCCGGGATGACACCAGATCTGCACATATCATTAAGATCTTTGTTCTTTCCATAAGGAATAAGGACGGGGCCATTATAAGCTTGGGATATTTCAAAATCATTTTGGCGTTGCGTGTTTCTTTTGGTGGATCTGAGAACCACTAAAGTCTTCGGCTCGTCATCGAAATTTGTATTCTATCCGATCAAAAACGTTGCCCTTAACTTTAACCTCTCTAATTTGTGTCCACTTCATTTTTTCATTTCTTACATCTTTCACCCAGTTTCTGTTCGCCAACAAATCTTTGAAATTGTAAAAGTCTCGTGAGGTCATTTCTTTTACATTGTACGGCATACCTTTTGTTTTCGCCCAACGCACCAAGCAGAACCATTCATCAGGAACGTAAATCATTCTCCGCTCACTCTGTCTTTCTACAAGCGAACACTGTCCCCTTCATTTTGGGTGTGTCCTTTCTCCATAAATCTATGTATTATAGTTACTCCAAACTCCTTAGCAGTAAGCCAATATAAAGCAAAGACAATGCGGTTTCGATTTTGGCCCGCACAATTGTCCGACCAAAATCTATATTAAATAAATCGGCATTCATTTTAATGAAATCGTACAAGCAACTTGAAACTTCATTAGCCCCTCTTTTAGCAATACACTCATGCCACATGTAACAAGTCGCAGTTTTATTTCCATGCTCAAAAAGTGTAAAGTTGTACCTATTCAGTTTCCGTTTGTAATAGAATATGCTTACCTCACCGTCCGGAGTCTGCAAAACTTTTTGAAAATCAAACGTAGCTACAAGATTTCAGGATCTTCACATGCAACTGTTTTATCAGCTTGTTTAAGTGATCGAGCTTTCTTTTTTCGCGCTCGATGTTCCAAGAAACTCTGTTTTTCTTCTTCTGTTTGAAACTGGTTTGTTCGCAAAGATATGGCAAACTTCACACAAGTCTTTTTTTGGCTTTTGAAATGCTAAGTTGAAATTAACATTTACAATGTATTGACGTTTGTTGGCTTGATTAGTGTATTTATGAGGATCGTACCATTCAACATAAAGTTTGTACATCTGCGAGGTACTTTTTATGTTCTTTAAGTAGAGTTTCTTAGAATCTTTGCGTGCATAGTGCGAATCCACTCGATCTAAACAATTCACGTGGTCTTTTACACTTTGTATCATTACTTCATCAATCACTGTAGGTTTATGGTCATACTTTCCTCTCTTGTTGTCTTCTACAGCTGCTATGCCGTCATATTTTTTCCAAGCCGTTGTTATTATTCGCTCACCAGAAGATATTGTACTTGAAAACATTTGCTTACAGACTCATTATTTCAGTGGTTTTACTTTATAACAAACTCCCAATGCTTATTACGATCGCCCAGTTCCCAAAACTTTGAAAAGATAGCCTCTCTTTGCTTTAGAGCGTAGTTTTCAGTACACTTGTAGCGACATTTTTTTCCACACGGCTGACCTAATACTTTTTCTGCAATTTGTTTCCCTTTTTTATTTATATAGGATTTTCCTTCGTTCTTCATTTTCTTTCTTTGAACTACACACCAATGCTCTTTGTGTACAAGTCTCTTCTTTCCTATGTCTGTTTTGTAAGTTTTCTTCCTGGAAACTTTTTGTGTAGTCGGTGTTACGTTAGTGGTAGTTATAGCTATAGTTGAAGGTGTTGGAAGATTTACATAGACTTCATCGGGCCTAATGGCATACGCTTCCAAGCATATGTAATAGAATTCGTTTCCACATTGGTCTTCGTGAATTGTCAATGGACTTTGATGTGCCTTTAGAGATTGCCTGCATTTCTTCTGTTACGGAAACCTCAGTCTCTTCAGGGACTCTCCTCTCAGGAATGACCTCTTCAGGAATTCTCTCTTCAGGTATAGAAACAGTTACAGGTTCGTCATTGTCACTGAATACATTATTATCATCCATCATTTCTTGTAGACATTCTGTGAACTCCTCATCGGAATGCACACGTATTGGTGAAGACCCTCGATCTGCAAAGATAGATAATTCCTAGAATAAGTTTTTGCAAGTCATACATCCGACACAAAATTCAGTAAATAATGCAGTTAGTTAGAATGTGACATATCCAACCGACTAACTAACTTTAGGCTACGTGTAATAATCTCGAAAGTGACACATCCGACAAAACGCCTGCTTTTAGGTTACATGTAACAATGTCGAAAGTGACACATCCAACAAAATGATTCACTCTATGTACATTTAATAATGTCGGAAGTGACACATCCAACAAAATGATCTGCTACACGTGCATGTAATAATGTCGGAAGTGGTATATCCGACTAAATTGTCTACTTGCATACTATTGAAATAGACGTATCTACCGGAACCTACTTTATTAAAAGGGATATTATGTCTATATTATGCAAAATGGTTTCATAATAAAAGTTTTAATATTAATGATTGAAATGGCTGTATATCTACTTTAAAATACATACTTAGTAAATAAAGGGTGCTTACCAGGTTCTGTAGGTATGGGATAATCTTGTAAGTCACATCTTGTTGTCTCAAGTTGATAAGTAGGATCTTGTTTATTGCAATTTACTAGATCTAAATCCGTTTAGAACGTATAGATGACCCACTGACCCGTTTCGACATGTTGGGACACTTTTTTTTACACTCACAAAAATAATAAATTCTAAATAATATTGCAATTTTGACCGCGCGAGCGCTCCTTCCAGTGACAAAGTACGTAGTGGCAGATCCGCGCACACCCGCGCTCCCTACGCCCCGCGGAAAACGCGGTTCCGTCACTACCAACACTGTTGCACGGACAAGGTTAATACAACCGACAATATTAACCAAGAAACTGACTAAATGTAACGTACGATAGGTCTTATTAATGTGATTCATTTATGTAAAAAAGTGAATATTGGTAAAAATGCATAACCGACATTGTTAATAGGGACCATCGATATCAATAGGGTGAAATTGAATGTTTTAATGAAACTTCGTGAGATTGTTGGGTTACGTGTATAGAGTATGCCTGATTTTTTTCGGATTTTTTGAAGTGTTTTTTTTCATGTATTTATTTATAATTTGTGTATTTTTATGTCCTTTCCTCCTTTTGAGTAGTTATTCATTTTAAACAAGCATAGGTACTTACATATCCAGTGAAAAACAACTAATAAATAAGCATTTCTAAAAAACGGAAAAGCAGTAAAATTAGGCGGGCGCGGCCACCGCGGTTCAACGACCGACCGCGCCCGCCAGCCGTTGAGTGACTAGGTACCTACACAGAGCTCAGGAGGCCTACTCTATTTCAACGAAAAACGAAATTCGATCGAAATTTCGCACGTTCCCTACTCTGTTTCCTTTTCATTTCGAAAATTCGTCCGTCCGAAATATTTTGACAATTAAATTCTCTAAGCCTACTCTAATTCACAAAACTTTCGAAGGAAAAGTTGAATTTGACAGATAATTGTTCGAAATTTTGAACTCAAATCGACGAAATGAAAAGTGTTACCTTTTCATTTTCGTTTTGAGATTTTTGTTTTAATTAAGCCTAAAATACTTGCAAGAGTATTTTTAATAATAGCTGCTTAGCTCGAGAAACTTTTTTAGCATGTAAAATTAACAAATAAACCATTTTTTTATTATTTTTTGTAATTTCGATACTTCAAAGTATTAAACGACAAATTGAGGTTGACATACAGTAGATTGTATCGACTCTACAAATTAGTCGGCTAACACTGTCAAAGAAGGTTCTTTCAATGTCATCTAAAAATTTGCCGTAAACTACCTATATTGTTTCCAAGTAAAAAAATGTTTTCTTAAAAGTAGAGATAAAAAGAACTCACAAACATGACTCATTCCATTCGTTCACGAAAACTGTTTATGGTTCCAAAGTTAATGTGCCTGTTCGAAAATGAAATAGAGTAGAGACACTGGCGAAATTTCGTTTGAAATTCGTTCGTTACCGAAATTTCGTTTCGGAGAAAGAGAGTAGAGCTCCTGATGACTCCTTTGATTCCGCACAATACAATAAAATCGTCTTAGATGCCTTTATTGAAATAATAAGCACAAATGTCATCTTCTCTTAAGTAGAGAAAAACTTCAAAAGTTAAGTAACTCCATACCTAAGCCAGGAGTATGCATATGCATAGTAAGTAGAAATTGCAGTTATTAAGTTAGTGTTTCATTTTATTTGAAACAGCGCATAAGTGAACTTCGATAATTTGGCTTGAATATGTGCAACATGCTTCTTTCAATTTATGTTTGTATCAATGTTTACTCCAAGAAGACTAAAATCATCAACTATTTCAAGTTGATTATTTTGAAATTTTATTCTTATATGAAGAGCTTATAAGATCTGAATTGCATAACTTTCTTTTAGTTAAAAATTTAGTTCAAGATTATGATCGTTTAGCCATTCTGTCACAGAATTTAAAGTGTTAAATATTTGTTGTGCCGAACTATCCTCATTGCCACATTTCAGGAGTATTGAAATATCATCTGCGAACAAAACTGGTGTTGTGTAGCGGTGGACTGTAATAAATTAAATGGGAATAATGCAGGAAAACGACACGTAGCAGTAAATAAAAATACTCGTATAATCCGTGTTCACAATACATAGTTCGTAAGCAGTAATGACAAGATAATAATAACGATGTATCAATCTAAAGAAAATATAACTAGAAAAAATTCCACGCGGACCAGGCAGCAGACGGGACTCGAACCCGCACCCTTCGCAATCCGGGCGAATGCACTGACCAATTATGCTACCGCGGCCCTCACGGACCGCGTCGAAATTCTTTCTAGCTATTCTTAGCTATTCTTATTGCGGGTTCGAGTCCCGTCTGCTGCCTGGTCCGCGTGGATTTTTTTCTAGTTATATTTTCTTTAGATTTAAACATCAAGCAGTTACATGCTTTAAAAATAATAAAAATTATAACGATGTATCAAATAAAGAATGGTGTCAAAAAGTGACGGATTTAAAAAATACATAATAGTATCAAAAGAGTTTAGTAGCCAAAGCCAGTCGCCAACATTCTGGACCCCCAGTGGAACACTATCAACTGGTGGTAACTGACTGTGGCTCGGGTCCCAGCGGGATAAGCTTGCGGTGTACCACCCTTGGTGAGGACGTCCACTACGCGATCCTCTCCGTCAGGTCCCGGGAAAGTTTGGACCACCCTACCTAGGGGTCACAGACCCCGAGGGAGAGTGGAATCCGCAATGACCACCACATCGCCCCCACTGAAAGTAATCACGTCGCGAGAAGGCCCTCTGGGTCGAAGCATTGGTAGATATTCTCGCAGCCATCGTGTCCAGAAGTGGTTAGCTAGGCACAAAGTTTTTCGCCAGTCGCATCTTCTATGTAGGTCTGCATCAGAGAGCGTACACGTAGTAGAAGAGGTACCCAGAATGAAATGGAATGGTGTCAGTGCTTCAGGCGAATCTGGTGAGGTTGATACATAGGTGAGTGGTCTAGAATGTATGATGGATTCTGCCTCGAATAATAATTTGGTCAGGCAGGTCTTCCTTGACTGGGTCTTTGAGGCATGCTTTTAGGGCGGTCTTCACGGTTCTCACCAGTCTCTCCTATGCTCCGCCCATAAATGGAGACGCAGGGGGTATAAAACGCCAGTCTATCTTCTGGTTCGCAGCGAACTCTTCAATGGCGTGGTCAAATAAGGAGCGTAATTCTCGACCGGCGACGACGAAGTTTGTGCCGTTGTCTGAAAATATGGTGGACGGGGAACCTCGCCGGGCGATGAAGCCTCTCAGGCTCAGAATAGCAGCGTCCGTCGAAAGTGAGGCGACTACTTCAAGGTGTATCAAGGTGTGTATATGTGTATGTTAAATTCGTTAAGTCCCGTAAACGCCTGTCTGTCTGTTACGTTTTGGCAGCGCGTTAATAATGGACTTTTATAAAAATTGCTCATTATTAGTGTTAGCCCCTTGTGAATTAGTGGCTGTATGAGGTCATAAACTATTTTTGCAGTAGCGTTGCTCGGACTAACTTCGCGGTCATGGTTTGGCTCGTTCTGACTGTTGTCAGGTCTGTCTTGTCCTGTCCTGTCAGCCCTGTTAGGTTCGTCTTTGCCCGTCAATACAAAGAATCGCCAGAGAAAGCCCGTCGATGACTCGCACTGCTGGTACGTTTTCACCCCCACTTAAGCGGCCTTGGGGCTAATTTTTTGCGAGAAGCTCGAACGCCCGTGCCTCTTCTGCAGAGATTCATCGATGGCTATTCCTGGGCTGGTTTGTATAAACTGGCAAATTTGTTATTTAAATAGTCTATGACGTGTCGCACTTTATTAGGTTTTTTCATCTCTGTGGTCGTGTCATTGCCGATGAAAGGCTGGATTGTTTTAAGCACATGGTAGTGGTTCTATGTCATTATACGCTCAAAGTAAGGAGTCCCAAAACCATTAAATGAGAAATAGACTTCCTCTCTTTAGGATATAATCCCTCCAACATCATTATTGCCAAAAATTCCTTTTAATCACGGTCAGTCGGTTCCTAACGCAGAGGGCAAGCACTTTTCCTGGTCATGTCCTGTCTAGTGTAGCTACCCTCAGTTCGGCGTATCTGTTAGTCTCTGTCACCATCATGTAAAATAGATGTTCCATAACTTCTGACCCATTTTAAAATCTGTCCGACTACAAAAGCTATCATAAAAATACAAAAGATGTACTACATGGGGCATCATTTGCTCATTTGCTGAAATCTGTCGTTGAAAGTATTATCTCAGAAATCGTGAAATTTTCATATTTTATCTTGAATTATCTTTGCATATTTTAGTGAAATCTGAAATTAATTATCTTTATACGTATAAACAGAGCTCAGTTTACAATAAAAGATACTTTTTTCCCTACTAAAACCAAATTGTGATTAAAAAAAATATTATTCATTGTTACATCAAATGTTCAAAATGCCGGCCACCAACTGAAAAGCACATTCGGCACCGCCGCAAAAAAAATCTCTTTAAAGGACAATGGGCAAAACACCCCCAGCTCCGCCAACAATGTAATTAGTATGATTCGAAAGATCTATGATAAACTAGCCTTTTTTATTATGACACCTAAAAAAATTATCCTGGTAGTCAAAAGATATGACACATGGACATATTTAAGTAGTTAAATAAATTCGTTTTATAGTACCTTCATTTTATATTATTATTAACCATAATAATATGCCATATCATACTATACAACCAGATATACGACAAAGCCTGCCGACCATCCCGCGCTTGCACTTACAAGGACACCTCAAAATGGTTTACGGGTGTTGAAGGACTTGCAGTTGTAAATAGTCGACTCGTCTTACTTCGTTGTGATTGTGCGCTCCCTGCCTCTAGACTAATTTTTATCTAATACGCTTTGGACGTTGGAACACGATTATCGATTTTATCAATTGGTGTGGATGAAGTGGAATCATGTTTTATCCGAAGCGTGGACAAGTTTGTGTGATTTGTAGCCGCTCCGTTTTACATATAAGACAATTTTCCATAAAGAACAGAATGTTTGAAAAAACCCCAACCCATGCGGGGATTTAAGAATTTACCCTAGCGCGGCAGAATAACGTAAGGGGGCACCCTTGCACCTTGTGAAGTACTCCTATAATACCTGAACTCCCTTTGTAGGGTCGAACTAACTAACTAAATTAATTCCCTTGTTTCATTAATGTTCGTTCGTTATAGTACTTGTTCCTATTTAACTTAAAACAACTAAAGACGCCCGGGATGGAATTTAATGCCCTTTGGCACATATGATCTTGACTATAATACCTTTCAAACAAATGTAGTTTCAGCCGTGGCGGACGTGGGTACAGCGTCCATACATTCTTGCCCAATGTCCTTTGTAAATGCTTCCTTATGTGATCTTATTTGGTTTTGCGCTTCTGACAACTTTGTTCTAAGTTGTTGAATATTTTGGTATTATGTATAGTATACTATTTCTTTGTAGAAACCCCATGCAATAATTGCATGGGGTTTCGATCAGGTGGACTAGGTGGCCAAGCTAATGATTCACCTCGACC